CCACTCCCCCTGTTTGTGGTCCCTCTCTCGCTGTGTCTCTCTCTGTCAAATAAATAAAATCTTTAAAAAAAAGAAAGATTGAGATTTTCTTGTGGGTCAGGGATTCTCCTTTTAAATCAGAAAACCTCAAATAAGGGCATTATTTTTGTAATGATTTCAATTTGCTGGTCCACTGAAGTTAGGATGCAGAATACAAATTTATCCAACTGGCTATCACTGGTGTGGCCGCATAGGAGGTAAACAATTTTAAGAGATAAAGGTCACCACTCTATTTTGAAGTCCTTGAAAAGAGCAAAACTCATCTCCCAGAGGGATTAACTTTTTTCTATTTATAACTATTTAATAGTTATTTTTTCTAAATAACTATTGTATTGATTTTAATGTTCCTTGTGTGCTTGCATTAGGATTTTAAATTATTGGAAGAAAATATCCATTTGTGTTTTCTTCCTGTGAATTGGAAGGGATGAACAGATACCATATGCTGGTATCTTACTATTTCAATTAAGAAGAGGGTAGAATTAACAGTATAGGAAATATAGATGTGAAGCCGAATTTTAAAGTGTAACAAGTAAGATGCAAACACCACAATTTGGGCTAATATTTAACATATATTAAGTGTTTGCAAGTCACAATGGGTCGTAGATTGTACATTATTGTACAAGTCACAATGGGTCGAAGATTGATCATTATATAATGCCATATGAAAAGCACTGATTTCCATCAAGTCTTTAAGGGCTGTGTAACCTATATACAATGTAATTAATGCCATAAAGCACATCTTCAAGTTTGAAGATGATCTGGAAGAGGAGGAGCAAGAAGAGGGAGCCATACTGCAACATTAATATTTCTGTCCTCAAGAGTTCAAAACCTAAGAAAGAAAGGCTGGACACTCATAAAAGCAAAATTTGTCCATCAATTCTATACGGACCCATGTCCACCTGTCTCTGAACTTTATGGGGATTTTCTGTCTTGCAGAAAACCTTGGCCTATAAAAAGGTGCATGTTGACTTCCCAAGTGGTAATCTGATTTGATGACATTATCTATTCCACCTGTAGATTTCTCTGCACCTTTCCCCATCCTCAGCTGAGCCTAGTTGGAGCTCAAATAAAAAGCCTTTTTATTTGCATCTGTCCAACCTCTCACAAATGCAGACCTTCCAAACAGCAGGACATTCAGACCAACATTCAAACTAATACTATTTTAAATGTTGATTATTTATCTTGGCAAGCATAAGGAGACTGTCTCCATTTTTTTTTTTAAGAATTATTTATTTATTTGAGGGAGAGAATGTGAGCGAGTGAGCAAGCCTGGAGGTGGGGAAGGGGCAGAGGGAGAGAGATAATCTCAAGCAGACTCACCACTGAGCGTGGAGCCCAATGTGGGGCTGGATCCCATGATGACCCTGATATCACGACCTGAGACTAAATCAAGAGTTGGATGTTTAACCCACTGAGCCACCCAGGTGCCCCTCCATTTTTTCTTTCACGTTTATTGAGAGCTTACGGTGTGCCCTAGAACAGGACCCGCTTATCACTTAATGCGTACTGATGCTTCCATTTTCACTTTATTCTACCAAATACCTAACACAGTGCCTGGCTCACAGGAAGAGCTTACATTTTGAAGAGTGAATGAATAAATGAATGAATGACATTTAAGAACTCAGAGGGAAATGAGGATTTTTAACACAGAAGGAGGGATGAAGCAGGAAGGAGATGGTCCAGTAAAAGGTATAGAGGCAGAAGTGGAAGTTTGGCAAAGTTCTCAACAAGAACCCTAGAAAGTTGTCACCAAGACCCCAGGGCTTTCATCCTTGATCGTATTTTATCATGAGTTCAAATAATGACTGTATTGATCGAAAATTGGAGGAGTGACCAGATCTTGAATCTGGAAAGGAGATCTAATACAGACCTAGCTGCTAGCAGTGACCAGTGAGTGAGCTCTAGGACTTGGGATTTTTAGAATTGAATTGAAAGACTCTTATAAAATATGCTTTTTCACACTAAACTCGTTAAGTGAGAAAAGATAGCATCTTTTTTGTAGTACTTTAAATCTCCCAAATCCTCCCAGTCTGTATTATTGAAATAAATTCAGTTAAGTATTTCAGATCTAATATTTGTAAACTCATCCTTACCACGTCTACCAGGACAAGAACCCTTGTGCCCAGGGGGCACAGCCATCACCAGAGTGGCTATCAACGGACTTCCCAGAGGGCAGGTGCACACAGGGGCAGAGGTGGGGACTTGAGGGAAATTGTGTCTCTACTACCTACCCTGGGGGGTGAGGTTTTATTTTTTTAATCTTATTATTTTTTAATTAGAAGAGCTAATGGGAAACTACACACCAGTGAATAGAAACCTGTTCATGTCCTTGTAGGCGTGTTATTGATAAATAGCCAGATAACTTGAGGAATTGCCTAGAGTTGCTAACAATCATTAGGATCATTAACTAGAATTTGATTAAAGGTGAACCCTTCACTGGTGGAGACCGCAGCTGTTTTCTCTGCCTCTAAGAGTTTGCAAAAAACATTTCACGAGTACTTCCTAACAGGTTCATTGTTATTTTTTTATTTTGTTTTTTAGAAGGTAGTGATACCTTGATTTTTGTGTTGCTAAATACACTTTTAAAAAAATACGTTGGTACTCATAGTTGATTTGTGAATGACCCTGAATAATTTCTAAGCTTGGAAAGCTTCAAAGACAGGCATATCCAGTCACAAATGGGCACCTGTTGATGTAGGGGCCTTTTCACATGAGCCTGACTACAGATACATTCTGCTACCTGAATAAGGACAGGCCTTTAATGAAATCCCAGTCCCTCAGAATAGATGCCGGCAGATGACTTAGTGAAACCAGATGGCAAAATAAAATGGCAGGGTTGAAATAAGTATAATTTGCTCAGTTTTTCCTGGTTAGAACTGTAGTTACAAAAGAACTGTTGGAGATATATGTTTGTGGGTTTTGACCTGTGAGAGAAGCAGCAACAAAAAGAGGACAGATTACTGAAATAGGAAGGCAGGGACATTTGATGCCAGTTCCTGGAGGCATTGCAAGTGTGGACCAAGCATAATTCTTGCCGGTTTCATTGGCTTTTTGCAGATTGTTGCAGATTTGCAGTGGTAGTACATACATATACGTAGGGCATGTCGTGTATATATTTTTCATACATGTCGCATTTTAGGAATTGCTTATGAAACATGACACATTTTTCTTTTAGTTATACTCTACAATAAACCAAATGACTATTCTTTTCCATTTTGAACCAAAAGCAAGTAAGTGGGCAGACAGCAGGATGGGACACATTTTCACAAAGGAAATGATATGTCACCCAGATTCTGGAGAGGAATCTGAGAATTATGGAGAATTTCAATCAGAAAGAACTGTAATTAAGGACATCAATTTTACCCTCTTGTTGCCAACTTTAATTCTACTAGTTCTGAAGCAATTTTGGGAAATGGAGGGAAGGTAAAGGAAAATATTACCAGAAACTTCTAGTGCCTATATTCCAGAAAAGTACACATTAATATCCTTAGGATACACATGCATTCAGTAGCTGAAGTGTCCCTAATGGCACAGTAGTAACCTACGTCTCTTTCTGCCGACAGTTTGTGGCTCACCCCAACTGTCAGCAGCAGCTCTTGACAATCTGGTATGAGAACCTCTCAGGCCTGCGGGAACAGACCATAGCTATCAAGTGTCTGGTTGTGCTGGTTGTGGCCTTGGGCCTTCCGTTTCTCGCCATCGGCTACTGGATCGCACCGTGCAGCAGGGTACGTGTTTTTCTTCATCCATTTCCTCTGGGGTTGGTGTACCTTGTGCTTTGGGGATGAAAAAACAAAAGCTCCCTCCTTAAGGGTCTTATCAGTTTTATCCTGAATGGTAATTGACTCTGGAACACAAATGCTGCTTTTTTAATGACTGGATCAATTCAAATAAGGGATGAAAAAGGATCTGGTACTAGTGGGGTAGTTCACATTTAAAGGTGTATAATACTTATTAGGCTTTTAAGATAAAATCCCCATGGTAGTCAAGAGGAAGAGCTGCCTGAGTGAGGTAGCACTTTTTTTTAAATTTTATTTTATTATGTTAATCACCATACATTACATCATTAGTTTTTGATGTAGTGTTCCATGATTCATTGTTTGCGTATAACACCCA